AATTTTTGACCTTTAATCTTCCTCTTAAGCTACATCTTCGGTTTTAATTCCAGAAAAATCAATTAACTTATATTCTAAATCACAAAACTATACTTGGTTTCGAACCTTCGAAATCGTCTTTACTACGCCGGTGTCTTACCCTTAGACCATCCGTGCCACGAAGATTTCTTCTCTTCAATCTTCCTCTTATGTTACGTCTGTTGTTGTGATTACAGAAAAATCTTATTAACTAAATTTGTATTTTATAAAACTTTCGCTGGTTCCGAACTTCGGAACGTCTACACACTACGCCGGTATTTTACCAATAGGCCATCAATGCCACGGAAGATTTTAACTTTTAACCTTCCTCTTATGTTACATCTCGCTATATAATTCCATAAAAATCTCATTACAAAAACTCTTGCGTTTTCGAACCACGGACCTTTTATTTACAACGTCGGTGCTTTACCCATAGGCCACCAGAACATCTATGCTACAATTTTCTGCGATCCTCCTCATATGCTACGACTTGGTTTATAGCTGCAGAAAAATCGTATTTATTTATTCATTTTTCAATTTCTATTGACAAAAGACACAGTGGTCTCAAACCTGGTACCTTCACAATACTACCCCAATGTCTTACCTATGCACCACCGGATCTATACAAATTTGTTACCTTCGCCTTCCTCACATAGTACCACTTACCTCCTACAGGCACAAATTTCTTACATTGTTTCTTTCAGAAAAATAGTCACAACTTCGAACCACGCAACTTCTAAACCATACTCCAGTGCCTTAAGAAAGGCCCACCATGGTTATGACAACCATTCGACTTCGTCTTCCACATATCCCACCGCTTCGTTTCTACAAAATTCCTCTTCACCTCTTGCTTCGTTTCAAAATCATTTTACGATTGTGGGTTGGCCCGTCACTTTATCTTAATTTAGAGCCCATTCAGACGCTTGTGACCAGATTTTTGTCTTGAAGTAAGATTTGCTCTTTGGCCCCTAGATTTGTGTTGAGTCAGAGATAAAGGAAAACATGCTCACTTCCAATGCCAAGGTCATGACGGTTACGACACTGGTTCTGTGGAGATATAACGCAGGCCACTGAAGTAACAGCTGATCGCGCCACGCTCGGAGAAGCAAAATGGCGTGTGGTTGGTTTGGTGGAAGGAGAGAACTCTCCGAGAATTATGAAGTAAGAAGAAAGTTTCGTCATTAGTTTGCAAGTAAGCTGAAACTTTAGTTAATAACTGTATAACTTTAACATGAAGTTCTGATAGAATTAGACGTGTACATCTATAAATCACGTGCAAGACTAACAAAATATTTAGTTGTTAAACTGATTCTTGTTACACCACAGATGATTTCTGTACTTATGCCCTCACGGATACACGTGCCATATAGAACTTAAATGTATAATTAAACCACATCGATTAAATAAATGCCTTAATATGTCCTTAGGGAAAAGTGTCTTAACCTTAAAAATATTCAATAAATATTGTGTCAGACTATTAACGTTATAAGTGCATACTACACGAATTTCTGGGGTACCTGTTTCGAAAACGAGGACCATATTTTTCATGGTTTTATTCAGTCCAGCAAGGTTAGTTCAAGGGCAGTAGAATGAAACAGACAACTGCCATTTTACTGTATATTTACTCTTTATATTGTGTACATGTTAACAGCATAACAAACTGTATTGATAACCCCTTAAGCTGCCTGGATACTGTTAACTGATTTCGTGATTTTTCTCAGGTTACCAATGAAATAACTAAATGAATACGTGCGCTGGTAACGAAATGCAAGACTATATCCCATCGTATCTTCTCTTTCTCTCTGTGGCCCTACAGACGTTTGGAATTTGACCTCTTTTTCAGTTTCTTAATCCTATACACAGCCAATAGGACTCCTTGAACGAAGGATCAGCCCGTCGCAAGGCCTCTATCTACAAACAGGACAGCACAAACACAAAATAAACCCAGACAGACATCCATGCCTCTAGTGGGATTCGAACCCACGATCCCAGTGTTCGGGCGGGTTAAGACGGTTCATGCCTTAGACCGCGCGGCCACAATGGTCGGCCCATTATGTTCTAGCAGACGGATATAGTCTTAGTGACGGCTTTGGAAGCATCACAGCTCTGAAGTCACTTCACATCACGGGAAGTAGGACTGTAACACGCTGGCCTGTTCGAGTCTCGCCGACGGAATTTCAAAATCGACAAACAATATTCTCAGAGGACGTTTGTATTTTGTCCCAAAATTCTGAAGGCTAGAGTATGGTTTTTATACAAATGAAGTTGGCAACGTATTCTAGGATATGGTGGGGGGGGGGACTGAATTTTAAAAACTAATTTGAAATGTAGTTATATCTACGTAAAAATTTTAGCAAAGCATGATGATATAAGGCAGGGTTTTTCGAAAAATGTGATTGCAACTGGTGAAATACATATTTCTTGGTTGTACAGGAATATTTCATAGCTTATAGCCGGGATAGCGTAGTCGGCGTTGCAACTAACTACGGACTACCGAGAGGTCGGAGTTCGAGTCCCGGTAGGGTCAAGAATTTTCTCTTCTCCACGTCGTCCAGACCGGCTCTGGTGTCCACCCAACCTCCTATCCAAAGTGTACCTGGGGCTATTTTCTCGAGGGTAAAGCAGCCGGGGCGTGAAGCTGACCACTCAGTTACAGCTAATACCCTGGTCAAGAAAAGGCGGATCAAATAACCCACTCCACCGTGTGCCTCCATGGCGTAGTGCTTAATCAGTTAAGCACAGGGACAGCTTTACCTTACCGTAATGTAGAGAAGATGCGAAGCTATTTAGATTCCAGCTGCCACCGTACAGCCAGATAGAGATCTGCAGCCGTGTAGAACTGCACTTTTCACTGCCCTGCGACGATAGTAGTCACAAAAATTTATATAAATTTTTAAGAGAATCCCTGTGTTAGACTGTTATGTAATATAATTCCATAAGCTGTCCAGATGTTCTCTGTGGGGTTGCGATGTGAAACAGACGAAATGAGAGCTATACGAGTATGTAGTGGTCACTAAAATCCTGTGAACTCTGCAATCGCTCTTACAGCCTCGAAACAAAGGATACCCTTTTCATCCGGAGAGTTTAGTGTTGTCTTCACAGTCACTGTGTTGCTAAGCAACAACTTCAGGCGATATGAAACTGGGAATTATAATCATCAGCAGGAAGGAATCAGGTGGGAGGGTAGCTCAGTGGTAGGAGATTCGACTGCAGATCGTTAGGTCTTCAGTTCAAGTCCAGGCGCCCCTTACAGTGTTTTTGTATCTTCGAAAGAAACGACTATTACATAATTCTCTATTCGTTGAGAATTAAATGTCGAACAGTTAGTGCGTGTTGTTGACGTATAATTATCCCTATTACTAAGCCCCACGCCGCATATTCATATAGGCGGATATGGATTCATAGCCTCGGCCATGATAGAAGTGAGAAATCTGCTTCACGCTCCGGCTACTTATCCCCGGAGGAAAGAGTCTGCTCCTGATTGATCCTTATCGTCTGTCATAACTCGCTATTACCTAAATGGTTCCGAGTCCTTCCTGAGAAGCTAACAGTTGCTCAGATATTTAAGAAATTTGTAGCAATTTGTGGAACCCGAATATTTTTTATCACATTACTTTAGCCCGCCACTGGTCCCTATCATAAGCCAGTTGAATCCATTTCATATCCTTCCATCTAGCTTTTATAATTCTTGTGTAGGTCTTCAAAATATTCCAATTCATTCAGAATTTCCTATCAACATTTTTATGAGTTTCTATTCTCTTCCATCAGTGCTGATCTCTGGCCAATTTCGACTTTTTTTGATAACTATAAAAATATTTGACGAGGAGCACATATTATAAAGCTGATGCAGGTGTCTTCATATTCACTTCACTTGTTCTATATTACGTCCAACGTCACATGATCAGTTGTCCTTGAGTTCTGCTCTCATGTGCATCTTGCATAATATTTTGCTGTCTCAGTGACGTTTTATCAGCGTAATAGTGCCACCAGTGGTCATGGTCTTACGAGATATGTATCAGACGTTTCGTTCAAGGCAATAACATTAATGGTTTCCATATGTTTTTGATAGGTTTCGATCATTCGGTAACTTATCCCTCAGTTATAACCTTGTGCCTATGGGGCGTATGCGCTCGCATTACATTTAACTTTACGAAATTTCTATTGGACTGCAGCTATTCCTAATAGCGGGGACTGTCTCGATATTTCTACATTTTCTTGTCTTCCTGGAGAGATTCGTCCTTATACTCAAATTAGTCTTTCTGTTAGTAGTATAGATGTAGAAGAGAAATACTTAACGGATTTTTTTTTAATTTATTTATTAAGTAATCAGAATCTACACTTCTATAAGCTCGTTTGCTGGCGTAAGAACTGTGATGCTCTTTAATGACGTGACGAGTGCCCTCCCCAGTTAGAGGTTCCTCTTAGTTTTCTTTTAGGTCAGCTGGCCAGTATCTTCGGAGTCTTCGATTGTGCTGCGGTTCACCGAGTGGCTGTAGTATGTCGTTTGGGTGATTTGCTAGTTTGTTGTGGTGTATGGTATTTTTTTCTCTGATGATGTCTTGATATATCGTATATTTAGATCTGTATGTAACGTTTGGTTGTTTACATACCAAGGTGCAGTTATTATAACATCGGATATTGGTGGGAAAGCCAGAAGGAAAGAGACCACTATGAAGACCAAGACGTAGGTGGGTGGATAATATTAAATTGGATATAAGAGAGATAAGATGGGGTGGTATGGACAGGATTGACCAGGCTCGAGATAGGGACCAGTGGAGGGCTCTTGTGAACAGGTAATAAACCTTCGGGTTACATAAAAATGCTCCAAAGTTCTTGAGTAGCTGCACAACTGGCGGCCTCTCAAGAAGGGCTCAGCTCCATGAAGTTAGTTAGCCTTACGCGCCGGCCGCCTTTTACCCCCAGGAAGATTCCTGGTACTCATTTCTGTTACAGGCTGAGTCGTCCCTATGGCCATAGTGCGGCTTGAAGGATTAGGTCAATTGAAAAAAAAAATCCAATGACTCTATCTGGAATCGAACCTACGACCTTCCGGCTTGTAGCATAGGGCCTCCGCCAATTATGTTATCGCGTGCCTCCCTAAAGTTTTGGTAATGGTGAGAACAGCATACACGCAAAGGAAGGTGTAAATAGAATTGAACACATAGACAGAGACGTAAGGGAGAAAGACAGGAACCAGCTTTTGCCGCAACCCACTTCAGAATTATGCGACACTGGCTAACCACTCCACTCGCTCTCATATTCTGAAATGCGAGCTGCAGAGAACACTTCACTTCAAATTTGCTTACTAAAGAAAAGTGTATTTTGATTTGAGGATCGCGCGTCAGTGAACACGAGGGGTGAGGTCTTGTGGGCGGTAACGCCACGTTGTTCGGGGAGAGGAGAGGCATTTCGGAAGGAAATATAGCCTTCATCTTCAGTATAGGGTAATAAACCAGGCAGAACCTAGCAAGAAACGGGAAGCAACTGGAGCCGCTATTTTTTCCTCTTGGCTTATTCTTCAAAACTAGAAGAGTGAAATCTTTCCTCCGAAACGTCGGTCAATCTGAGATACTCGGCGCTATATTCCAGGAGAGTCAACTCTTGATACATAACTAAATTTCTCTACAGTATATTTTATCCTTTAGCGCGATGAAATCGAGCTAAGGGGTTGGAAAGAAAACCACGCTAAACACAAATTGAATTTAATTGTTGCTTAATTATCGACGCTATAAGATAAGTGCATAAAAATTGTCACCTAATTAAGTGTGACTAGACACAGGGTTTAGTTTGGTAATCGTTTTTATTTGACTCTTAAATAACTCGTGACTATACAAATCACTATCACGCACAGACTAGTGTCCTCAATTACGGTCTTCACTGGGCTGCCTTGTAACTTCTTCCAACAATGGACGCTCCTCTGCTTCCGGGCTCACGTCCTCGCAGGCTGGCTTCCATCTCACAACGAATTCCTAAATTCTAACTGCCATGTCAGGACCCCCTCGTAATAGGTGCTGGTCCTTATTTTATAGCCTCGGCAAGGACTTCATAGAAAACACCGCTTCAAACAGTTACTAAATTGTTGCGTGTTACACAGCCGTTACCTAGCAACGATTGTTTCTCTGGCTCCTTAATTCTTGCTTTGAGCAAATATTCCACAATATTTTGGTAAGTTAATATGAAGGAAAAAGACAT